AGCAAGATGCCCTGCCACCTTCGGGCTCCTTGGACTTGGCACAGCCCACCCCCAACTGGCTCCCAAAGCCGGGGCTGCCCCGTCCACTCCTGGCCAGGGCTTGTCACCAGGCACAGCTCCTGCCGAGCCCCCTCCCGGACCTGGGGTCGCACCAGGGTTCCTCAGAGCAGGGAGGGCCCCCCGCCCCGCCCCCACCCCCACCCTGGCCCAGGGGAGAGGCCGAGCGAAGGCAGCAGCCACAACGCAGACTCGTGGAACGCTGACGCTCCGAACACAGAACACGGCGTCCGGGGAAGGGCCGTGCGTTCCCACTTTAAAACGGAGCACGGATGTGCTTCCAACACTCGCGCCCGCCGCCCGCGGGGAAGCCCCGCCCGGGCCTGCGATGGGCAGCAGCCAAACCCAGGCCCGCCGCCTCCTGCCAGCTCACCCAGCACCGGCCGCGACGGCCCGGCCTGCGGAGTGTGCGGGCGCCGGGCTGCCCACGGCCGGTCTCCGGGGCAGGATGCCAGCAGACGAACCCCCGCTGCCACAGGCCCCCACCGGGGTGCAGGCATGTGCGACCACGTGTTCACACACACACGCATCCGTGTGTGCACAGGCGTGCGCGTGCCTCTGCACTCACGTGTGCGCATACGCGTCCGTGCACGCATACACACCTGCACCGGAGCTCTGGCGCCAGGCGGACCTGGGCTGTGTCTCCCCCGCTGCCCGGAGTCCAGGCCATGACCCTCCTGCCCAGACCGGGGCCGGCCCGGCTCCCTGGCCTTGCCCCCCCTCTCCACACGGCCTGCCCCTCGCTGAGCAGAGGCCCCTCCCCCACCACATGCACCCCATCCCTAGTGCCACCTTCTTAGGGCAGGTGTGGGAGAGGCTGGGGCCCAGCGCAGGCCTGGTGGGAGGGGTGCCCTCAGGAGGGTGGAAGTGGCAGACAGGGACCCCCGGGCATGGGTAAGGGTGCGGGAAGGGCAGGGTTTGCCCCTGGACGGCAGGCAGGACGTCCACGCTGGTGGGGGCCCTGGTGGAGGGACAGGATGGCGGGTTTCCACAGCCCCGGCCTGGGCCCCTGTGACTGCGGGAGGCTAGGAAGGACAGGGGCGGGGGCGGGCGGCACTCCACACGCACTGCACGCCTGCAGACCCCCCGAGCCTCAGTTTCCCCACATGATGGACAGCCAGGGGCAGACACCCCGGCAGGCCCAGGCCAGGGCCCGGCCCAGCTTGAGGGCTGAGAAGGCCCTGCCGCTCCCACCCTGCTCAGGGCCCCCAGGGGGGGACCCCAAACTCTTCCTGAGCATGACCCCCCAGCCCCTCTCAGCACGCGGGAGGACGCCAGCCCTGGGCACCAGGCCCCACACCCCACCACCACACAGGAGGCGCGGAGAAAGGAGATGCGGCCGGCCGGAGCTCCAGGGCCAGCCCCTCCCTGCCCCGTCCTGTTCCCCAAGAGTCAGGTGGTGAGCCCCAGAAGCCGAACTCGGACTCCCACACCCGGGCCAGAGAATCCTGATGCCAGTCCCAGTGCCCGGCTGGCTGTGGCCCTGCCAGCTCTCCTGCCTGAGGCCGCCCTCTCCCAGGGCACCTCCAGGGGCACCAGCCGCGTGGACAGGCCTGAGGGTCGGAGCTGGCCCCGCGGCTCCCCGCGGCCCACGCTGGCCCAGGAGCTGGACAGACCACTTCCCAACATCATCCCGGGGTGGCCGGGCGCCTGAGTCTCACAGCAACGGAGCCCTGTGGCCACCCCGCAGCCGGAGCGTGCGGCCTGCACACGCCCACCAGGCCCAGAGCCCGCCTGCGCCCAGGCCCCACTGTGCAGCCCCCCCCCCCCGCTCACCTGCAGCATGAGCTCACACTCGTCGCGTCCCACGAAGATGAGCTCCCGCGGGAGCCGGTGGCGGGTGCCGCTGCTGCTCACCAGGAACCAGGAGGTGACGCTCATCTTGGCGCCCGAGAGGCCCGTCAGGCCTGGGGGTGGAGGGGTGGTCAGAGCGGCTCCCTGGCAGCCCAGGCCCGACCGGACCCCTAAGCCCAGCACAGACCCTGCCCCTCCGATGCCCAAGCTCCGCCCAGAAACACCAGGCTCCCCCACCCCAGGCCCCAGCATAGCCTCCCTCTCCTGTGGGTGCTGCAGGGGTGAGTCTGGGCATCGGCGGCACGGCCTGCATGTGGACCCACAGATGTCCCCGTGACCTGACCAGAGGCCGCTCCCCACAGTCAGGGTCCCCACCATGCCAGGCCCTCGGCACCCCACCCTCCCAGGACACAAATTCTCAGCCAGAGGCTCCGCTTCCCTGAGCGGGCACTCTGGGACCAGCCCTGGGCACAGGGGCTGGGGGGCAGCTGGAGGCAGGACGCTGACCCACCAATGCTCCCCACACTGAGAGGAGACCACACACCCCTCAGCGGCCACTGTGACCACCTGCAGGCGCCCCCTGGCCAGGCCAGGGCTGTGGTTGGGGCATCAGGCAACCTCTCCAATGCCCAGGAGGGAAGGGGTGCCCAGGGGGGAAGGGGTGCCTGGGGGGAAGGGGTGCCCAGGAGGGAAGGGGTGTCCGGGGGAAGGGGTGCCCGGGGGGAAGGGGTGCCCGGGGGGAAGGGGTGCCCAGGAGGGAAGGGGTGCCCAGGGGGGAAGGGTGCTTTGGTGCCAAAGGTCCCGGAGCATCAGCAAAGGAGGATTTGAGGGCTGATGTGGTCGGACAGCAGGGGGCTGCACGGTGGTTTGAGGGGCACAGCGAGGGCAACCTGAGCAATGACAAGGGCCGATGTCACCCAGCCACCAGCAGACACTGCACACGCTCGCCACGAGCAGAGCTGTCCCGGCACCAGCACAGGGCACGGGCTCCAGGTGTGTGGACACACCTGCCACACCCATGTGCATGTGGCCTGGAGCACCACCCACATCCCACAGTGTCCTGGCCACTCTCCTCTGCACACACTCACACATGCACACTTGCATGGCACATTCACACACTCACACATGCACACACGCACACTTGCATGGCACATTCACACACTCAGACTCACATGATACACCTGTACCAGCACTGCACACTTGCATGACACACTTACATGACACACACATGCATACCCACAGTGCACATACTACACATACATGTTCCCCACACACTGTATGTGTGCACACTGCACACACACTGAACACGGTGTGCACACACTACACACATGCACACTACACACACACGTACACTGTACACACACTCATACAAGCGTGCAAACCAGATCAAATGCATCCTGGGGCTCTCTTCAAAAGGAGAAGCTGTGAGTGACAGGAGGGTCAGGGAAGGCTGCTGGGAGGGGACACCTGAGCGACACAGGGGCAGGCGGAAGTGGGTACATGGCATGGGGGGGGGGGGCATTCCAGGCAGAGGGAACAGCCAGGGCAAGGACCTGGGCCTCCAGCTCTGGGAGTCGGGTGGCTGGTCCTGGAGCCAAAGGGGAGCCCTGAGGCCCAGCCTGAGTGCAGGACCCGGCACAGGGGTCCCACGTCCACGGCCTGACCCGTGTGCAGAACAGGCGGAAACTCGCTAGGAGCTGAGTCAGTGACCGGGAAGCTGCTGGTGCCGGCACCGTGGAGGTCCCAGGCCCTGTCCCCGTCCCTGCAGGCCTACACCATGGAGGTCCAGTCCCGTCCCTGTCCCTGCAGGCCCCCATCATGGAGGTCCAGTCCCGTCCCTGTCCCTGCAGGCCCGCACTATGGAGGTCCAGTCCCGTCCCTGTCCCTGCAGGCCCGCACCATGGAGGTCCAGTCCCGTCCCTGTCCCTGCAGGCCCGCACCATGGAGGTCCAGTCCCGTCCCTGTCCCTGCAGGCCCGCACCATGGAGGTCCAGTCCCGTCCCTGTCCCTGCAGGCCCGCACCATGGAGGTCCAGTCCCGTCCCTGTCCCTGCAGGCCCGCACCATGGAGGTCCAGTCCCGTCCCTGTCCCTGCAGGCCCGCACCATGGAGGTCCAGTCCCGTCCCTGTCCCTGCAGGCCCCCATCATGGAAGTCCAGTCCCGTCCCTGTCCCTGCAGGCCCGCACCCAGAGGCCTCTGCTACCTCCCAGGCGGGCAGCGGACCAGGCCAATACCAGGCCCCACCCAGCTGTGAAGGCCAAGGGACCGAGTGTCCCATACCCTCATGATGCTGGGCAGGCAGATCTGAGGATGTGGACACTTTGCCTCAGGAGAAGACAGCTCCGTCAGTCAGAGCCCTGTCGCCCTGGGCCCCCGGCACTTCCCCAGGGCCCACGGGGGCTGCCACTGGAGACCAAGGGGCGGGCACCACCCAGGCCCCTTCAGTCCTCGGAGGCCTCCACAGCCCCAACTCCTCAGAAACCCCTTCAGGCCGTGGGGGCACCCCCAGCCCATCATTGCTTTCCAGCCCTCAGCCCCTACCCCTGGGGGTCCCACACCTGCCACCACCTGCCCACGAAGGGCAGGAGGCAGAGACCCCACCCAGAGGAGGCCACAGCCTTTGCGTGTGGCCAAGGGAGGCCCAACCCCGGCCCAGCCACGCTGCCTGGGAGCCGGGTGCTCTGCCACCCCGCACGTCCTAAAGGCCCGGGCCCTCCCGGGCCATGGATGCTCCCCAACAGCCTGCCCCCGCTTCCAGGCTGGGCAGCCGCGTTGCTAGGAGGGAATAATAAACACCCCAAACGTGTCCCCTGGCCCCCCAGCCAGAGAGCCACCGCCGGGGCGGGGGGGGGGGGGGGGGCGGGGGTACAGGCTCTGGGGCTGGGAAAGGCGAGGGACAGGGGCCGGGAGGGGCCGGGCGGGCGGCTGGAAGGAGCAGACGGACGGAGGCCGGGACGGGCGTGGAGAGGAGGCAGGGACGGCAGAGAGACGGCGGCGGCGAAGGGAAATCAGGAGACGGAGGGGAGGAGGAGGAGGGCACGGGGAGGGACGCGGGAGCAGAGAGACCAGCCGGGAGGCGGCGGCGGGAGCGCGGGCCGGAGGGGGAGGGAGGAGGGCGCCTGCTCCTGAATCAGCGCTCCCGGGCGGCCATGGCGAGCTGGTGCCGGGCCCGCGCCCCTTCCCAGGCCGCGGAGACGCGCCCGGCGGCCCCGCCCAGCCTGGCGCAGACCTGGGCCGTCTCCGCAGCGCAGGGACCGGCCCGGCCAGGTGCGCCCGCGGCCCCCACCCGCGCCTTTGTCCGGCCCGGCGGGGACTCCGATCGCTGCCCTGCCCCGGCCCCGGCCCCGGCGCCGGTCCTGCCCCCGCCCCAGCCCCGGCCGTACCCCCGCCCGCGTGGCCCCCGGGCGCACAGGTGCGGGCGGCACAGGCTCGGGCGCCGCGGGCGCAGGCGGCGCGTCTTACCTGCGGCTCGGCCCCGGCCTCCCGTCCGGCCGGCGAGCGCGGTGCCCGGGGCCGCCACCTAGGACCTGCCCGGCGCGGCCCGCACGCGCGCGGAGCCCCGGCGCAGCCCGGGCTGAGCGGCGGCCTCGGCCTCCCGCGGCGGGTCCCTGACGTCTGCGGGCGCCCGCCCCGCCCCGCCCTCGCCCGAGGCCCCGCCCCGCGACCAGACCACGCCCCTCGGGCCCGTCCCGCCCTGGCCCCGCCCCCAGGCGTTCTGGTTGGGCCGGGCCGGGCTCCAGGTGAGCGCGTCCCCGGCCCCCGCGCCCCCGGCCCTGCCCCCGCCCCAGCCCGCGGACCCGCCTCTTCCCGGCTGCGCCCGGCCCGGTGCGGTGGGAGCCCGGCGTCCGGCTGCCCGCGTCCTGGCCCCGGGCCCGGGGTTAACGCTTAACCGCGCCGGGGGAGCCGCGGCCCTGCCTAACCTTTGGGCCGCCCGCCCTCCCGGACCTTCCTCCTGCGCCCCCGGCTGGACGCGATGCAGGGCCGTAGGGGACGCCACCGGCCGACCTTCGCGCCGACCCGGGGCCGACCCGCCGGGGGCCGGGGTGGGCTGGGGCCGGAGGGCTCGCCGCGCCTGGGTGAGTGCTCCGGGCTCTGCCCCGCGATGGCCGCTACGACGCGGGTGTCCGGTGCCGCGGGAGCCGGGACGGGGGGCCCCGGGGCGTGGACGGCGTGCGAGGCGCCGGGCCCGGGGGTCGCCCGACGGGAAGTGAGCCCGAAAGTGGAGGCCGGTCCCGGGAGGCTGGGCAGGTGAAGCCTGAGCGTTCACGGCCACGGCCGGTCCACCCCGCCCTGCCCTCGGGCCGGCTGCCGCCCCCTCCCGGCCGCGCCCGGCATTGCCCTCCGGCCAGGCCCTGCCCTGGGAGCACCTGGGAGCACCTGGGTGTGGAGCCCCGCCTGCCGGGGGAGCGGGCCCTGGGCGGGTGCCTGCGGGCTCACGGGGAAGACCGGAGGGGGGCGGCAGGGGCGGGACCTGTGCTCGGTGATCGAGGAGTTTGGACCCCATTCCAGGGACTGGGAAGGAGTCTGACGCGCGAGGCCTGCAGGGAGGGGTGGGGGGAGCGCTGGTCTGGGGGCGGAGGGCCAGGTGTCCAGCCAGAGGCCAGGAGGGGAAGGGGGTCGGCTGTTTTTCCTCCTTTGCCCCCAGACCTCAGGGCAGCATCAGGGACCCCAAGCCCCACCCTCCACTCCCACGGCTTCCGGGTGAGTTTGGCCTCCAGCTCAGAAGTGGAGGGGGGGTTCCCCAGCTCTCCCTGCTGGGGGATGTCCTGCTCTCCCCGGGGCCCTGGGACAGCCCCACCCAGGGCTCCCAGCACCTGCTCCAGCACCTGCTCCAGCCCCTCGTCCACACGTGGCAAATGGTCCTTCAAAAAAGTTGTTTTCCTTCTTTGCAGCTTTCCCTGCCAGGACCCAGCCTTCCTCCAGGTGAGGGGGGGGGGGGGCCCAGTGGCCACCTGGACCCCTGCTGTCAGTGGGGACAGGTGAGAGCAGGTGTGCAGGGACCGGGCGCTCAGAGCTGGACCCAGAGGGATGGAGAGAGCTGAGGGCCTGGCCAGCGTTTGGTAGTTCAGCTCGGAGCCAGGGGAGCAGGTGTGGGTGGCACTTGGAGCCACGAAGGGGGCGGGGGGAGAGAGAAGGAGGTAGACCCAGCCAGGAACCTGCAGGGGAGACCAGGAGGAGTGAGGCCACAGCCCCCCCAGACGGACCCACACACTGCACGGCACCAGTGAGAAAGCACAGGGTGTGTTCATAGCACGGAGCCGCGTCTGAAGTCCGGAGGAAATACAGGTGCGAGATAAACGGCTGAGCACCAGGGACCGGCACAGCGTGAGACTGAGAGCAAACTGTGATTGAGACGTAAAGCGTAGCCCTGCCGGCTTGGCCCAGGACGGAGCGTCAGCCTGGGGACTGGAGGGTCTTGGGTTCGATTCTGGTCAAAGGCACGTACCTCAGTTGCAGGCTCGATTTCCGGCCCAGTTGGGGCGTGTGCGGGCGGCAGCCAGTTGATGTGTCTCTCTCATCGATGTTTCTCTCTCCCTCCCCCTCCCTCCCACTGTCTCTAAAAATCACCGGAGCTCGGCCGGCGTGGCTCAGCGGTTGAGCATCGACCTGTGAGCCTGGAGGCCATGGTTCAGTTCCCGGTCAGGGCACAGGCCCGGGTGTAGCATGATCTCCAGTAGGGGGTGTGCAGGAGGCAGAATTTCAGTGATTCTCTCTCATCGTTGATGTCCTCCCTCTTCCTTCATCTCCAAAATCAATAAAAATATATTAAAAAATAGAAATCAGTGGAAATAAAGACCAAATAGTCTGCAGGGGGCGGGGAGTTAAGAAGAAAAAGAATAAATAGTCTGAAAGGACTTGAATAGACGGGTCCAGAGCAGAGGCCGAATGGCCAACCAGCACATGGGAGGAGGCACAGGCTGCCCGTCAGCGGGAAAACGCACCCCAAAAGGGCCCGGGAGACCCCTCGCTCCCGGGAGGATGGAAGGATGTGCTGGCGGGGGTGTGGGGAGAGGGCCCCCTGCCCTGCGGGGGGGAGATCCGTGGTGCAGCCTCCGTGCGGAACAGCGTGGAGGGGCCTCAGAAGCTAGAAACAGACCACGTGACCAGCAGTCCCACTCCTGCCACCCGAGGAGGCAGCAGCCACGGCAGTGATGGCAGAGCGCTAGTGAAACCGGCCGTGCCTCATGCCCTCGTCGGGGAAACTCGAATCCGTGCCGCTGAGAATGGAGCTCTCGCCCACAGTCCCGCAACACGGGAGGCGAGGGGTGGGGAGACAGGAGCCCAGTTATGCTGGGTGCGCCGGGGGCTCGGGTGGGGAGACGGTGCCTGTTGGCTTTCCAAAGGAGTTTGGCGTCCACCCCCGGCGTCCATGCTGCACCCAGCACAGGTGGGATGTCATCCAGCTGGGATGCCCGTCCATCGGGGGCCCCAGCTGCGTGGGCACGACACGGCAGCTCCCTGGGCTGGCACAGAACCACCTGGAATTCTAGGCGCGGGCACTGCCCCCTCGCTCGCTTCACTGCCGGTCCCAGGGGTGGCCTCTGTGGGCGGGAGCTGGACCTGGGTTCCGGTCTGCCCTTGTCTCTACCTGAGTTGGAGTGTTAACGGGGATGAGATGGGCTGTATTCCTCAGGGGGGATGGGAGCCGGTGAGACTCCAGGGGGAGCCCAGCAGGTCTGGTGGACTCGGGGCCGAGGGCACCTGGCTTCAGGGCCTGGCAGGGGCCTAAGGTGGTGCCAGGGGCTGGCGGGGGTGGGCAGAGGCCCCGTCCAGGGGTGGGAGTGGGCCAGGGGACGAGTGGAAGAGAAAAGCAAGGTCGGGGGCAGAGGCTTCCCCCCACCCCCCCACTCCCATCTCGGGGCCCTGCAGCCCTTTGAAGCTCTGGGCTCTGCAGGTCCAGGAGGGCTGGGGCTGGGGCTGGGACCACGCGCAGGACATCGGCCACGTTCCCTCCGGCTCCTGAACCCCATACCCCGCCGTCTGGGACTCGGGCCAGGGTCTGCGTCTGCACTGTGGCCTCCCTCTGTCCCTTTCCCTCCGTGTTTGCGTTCAGTCACCAGCTTCGCTCCCCTTATTAAAGGCTCTGGCCACAGCCCGGCCAGTGTGGCTCAATGGGTGAGCGCCGACCCGTGAACCAGGAGGTCAGGGTTAGACTCCCGGCCAGGGCACAGGCCCGGGCTGCGGGCGCGATCCCCAGTGGGGGGCGTGCAGGAGGCAGCCGGTCCATGATTCTCTCTCATCACTGATGTCTCTCTCTCCCCCCCTTCTTCTCTGAAATCAATAAAAATATATTTAACAATAACGCTCTGGCCACAGCCTAGCCCTTTGTGGCTACGGGAGGCGGCGGCCCCAGCACTGGCTGCTGACAGGTGACGGCAGGACCCGGTGGAGAAGCCAGCGGTGACCGGCCCGGAGGCCGTGCTGCCTGCCCGGGGTCCGCCCGCCTGGCACGCCTGGAGGTGAGCCCGGGCCGGCTGTGCCAGGAGCCCAAGGACTCTGCGCTCTGGGGCTGCTTCCTGGCCCCGGGTCCTGGGCGGCTGCCCGGGTGGGTGGACCTGTCCGGCCAGGGGAGGGCAGGATGGTCGGCGGGCCCGGCCCCCGCTGGGGAGCCCTCGGCTTGGGGGGGTGTCTGCTGCCTGGGCACCTGGGGCAGCGGCCCAGACAGGCCCCCCTCGGCCTCGTCCGCATCGTAGTGGCGGCCCAGCTGCCCTCCGCCTGCTGGTCCGAGGCCCAGCCTGAGGCGAGTGATCCCAGACAGCAGGGGGCCAGGCCCACCAAGCCTCCGCCCGGTGGGGTCCACACCCCATTATTCGCCCAGCTGAGGCCCAGCAGCAGGGCTCCCCCCTCACTCGAGGATGGGGTGCAGCCTTCCAGGGCCGGGCTGTGCAGGGCAGTCAGTAGCCCCAGGACACGAAGCCCGAGGGCAGGGGCGGAGTGGAGGGGCTGCCAGGCTGTGTCCCCCAGCCCTCTCTCAGACGCCCCCCAAACCAGGGAACCTAGAGCCAGGAAGGCAATAACCCGCCCCCCTCCAACCACATTCAGGCCCCGTTGGCCCCTCTGATCCCCACTCCTGGCCACAGGCTGGGGGGCTGGCCTGTGCTGAGTGACAGGGGGTGGGGGGGGCAGTTGTCCTCCGTTGTCCCCTCAAACTCTGCTCAGGGTGCAGGCTCATCATACCAGCCCCCACCTGGCCTGCAGCTCCCACAGCGGACGGAGCAGGTGAAGGACTGCGGGACCCTCCCTGCCTCCGTGGCCCTTCCTCGGAACGAGCCATGCCCCTGCCCCGCTGCTCCCGGCTCAGAGGCCTCAGCGCCCCTCCCCCCCCAGGTCTCAGCGCCCCCCCCCCCCGCCTCAGCACCCCCCCAGGCCTCAGCACCCCCCCACCTCAGCGCCCCCCCACCTCAGCGCCCCCCGGCCTCAGCGCCCCCCCCAGGCCTCAGCACCCCCCCAGGCCTCAGCGCCCCCCCACCTCAGCACCCCCCAGGCCTCAGCGCCCCTCCCCCCCCAGGCCTCAGCGCCCCCTGCCCTCAGCGCCCCACGCAGCACGGAGCTGCCTGCCCAGTACCTCCCTCCCCCCCCCCCCCAACAGCCTGGCTCTGCGCTGCCAGAGGGGAGCGTGGCCAGAGGGGAGCGTGGCCGGGCCCAGAACTGAGTGTGGGCACTTGCCCCACTTTTTTTTTTTTAAATTAACGTCAGAGAGGAAGGGAGCGGGCGAGAGAGATGGAAACATCATTGATGAGAGAGAACCATGGATCAGCTGCTCCTGCACGCCCCACACTGGGGATCGAGCCCAGGCATGTGCCCTGACTGGAATCGAACCTGGGACCCTTCAGTCCGCAGGCTGACGGACTGTCCGCCAGGGCTGGGCAGGTCTCTAGCGAAGAGTGACGGAGAGGCCTGCGAAGGCCCCATCAACGCCTCTTACCGCACCGAGCTCACCTTTTATTCAGCAAAGGGCCTTTTTATTTCGGCTCACAGAATGGAACATTTTGTTTCACGTCTCAGATTTATTTTACACTAGAGGCTGGGTGCACGAATTCGTGCACGGATGGGATCCCTCGGCCTGACTGGAGACCGGGGCCTATTCGGGCCCTCTCGCCCAGTCCCACTTGGGGCCGATCAGGGCCGGCCGGCTGTGGGGAGGGACCAAGGGGAGGTTGGCTGCGGGAGCGCAATGACCACCAGGGAGCAGCTCCTGCGTTGAGCGTCTGCCCCCTGGTGGTCAGTGCGTGTCAGAGTGGCCGGTCGTCATGGTTGCTTAGGCTTTTATATACATAGGTTGTTAACACTCCGCCTCACTGTCCTCTGTGACATAGTCTTTGTCTAGTTAGGAAATTGTAATAAGTCAGCAAATGTTTTAAATGTGTTACAGCTGCATTTATAGATATTGTTATACTGAAACCATCTTTTTTTAAAAAAATATTTTTATTGACTTCAGAGAGGAAGGGAGAGGGAGAAACATCAACGAGGAGAATCATTGATCAGCTGCCTCCTGCAGGCCCCCTACGGGGGGTCGAGGACATGTGCCCTGACCGGGAATTGAACCTGGGACCCTTCAGTCCTCAGGCTGATGCTCTATCCCCTGAGCCAAACCGGCCAGGGCTGCAGAAACCACCTTGAGTCCCACCACGCACAGCGGCCGGGGTCCGCTCTCCCATCCACACCCGGCCGGGGTCCGCTCTCCCGTCCAGGCGGCGCCCGCATCTGGGTTGCAAGTTGCACACGCATCATGGTGCCCGGTGCTGGTGACCCGCGGGCGCCACGGGCTGGACGCCGCCTCCGTGGGTCGGGAGGGGCCCGCAGCGCCGATCTGGAGCCAATGTTTCTCTCTGGAGGCGATGGAGGGACCACGCTCCTCCAGCGCGAGGACCTCGGTGCCGTGGGCAGGGCTGTCCGCACGCGCAGGGGAGGTCCTGAGGTTTTTCTTAATTTATTTCATCCAGTTCTCCAGACGTGGCCTCGCCTCCGGACGGATTCCTGTAGGAAACGGGGGACTCCTGACCCAGACGAGAAACAGCAATGGAGAACGGCCTTGGCAGCAGTGGGCCGAGCCCGCGAACCCGGCACCAGCTCAGGGGGAGCCAGCAGGTCACGGCTGCGCAGAAAGTCTACCAGGGGTGGGCAAACATTTTGACCCGAGGGCCACAATGGGTTCTTAAACTGGACCGGAGGCCGGAACAAAACCATGGATGGAGTGTTTGTGTGAACTAATATAAATTCAAAGTAAACATCATTACATAAAAGGGTACGGTCTTTTTTTTTTTTTTTTTTTAGTTGTATTCATTTCAAACGGGCCGGATCCGGCCCGCGGGCCGTAGTTTGCCCACGGCTGGTCTAGACACAGCCGCCCTGTGCGGGGATGGTGGGCCGCAGAAGAGGAGGTCCCGCAGCCGGGGCGCACCAGAGGGTGCCGGGTCCAGACCAGACCAGACACGCTGCGTCACGAACGTGGGAAGCCGGGGAACCAGACAAACGGGCTCGGCCCGCGTGAGCCAGGGCGGAGGACGTCGGAACTCAGGCGGGTGTCCTAGAGCTATATCTATTCTTAAATTTATTTTTACTGATTTCAGAGAGGAAGGGAGAGGGAGAGAGAGACAGACACATCAATGATGAGAGAGAACCATTGATCGGCTGCCTCCTGCATGCCCCACACCGGGGATGGAGCCCGCACCCGGGCCTGTGCCCTGACTGGGAATCGAACCGTGACCTCCTGGTTCATAGGGTGACGCTCAACCACTGAGCTGGGCCGGCCGGGCCTAAAGCTATGTTTTTAAAAAGGTAGATGTATGTGACTCTATAGAGATATTACATTGTGTGTGAGAAAAGATACCGCACACAAACTCAACACGAACGTGATAAATTTGGAAAAATACAGACAGACAAACGCTGGACATCTGTCACATACAAAGGGCTCTTGGAAACGACAAGAAACCGACTTGTAAAACCCAACAGACAGACGGACAACATGTACACCAGCCGCTCACAGGAGAGCAAAGACCCAGGTAGACAAGGGTGGACTCCCTGGCTGCCCCCGCCCCCCACTCCCCAGCTGCAGGCGCCGCTGATGCGCCAGGGCCCGGGGTCCTGGTAAGGGCTGGGGACCCTCCCCTGCTGATGGTGGAAAGGAGAATCGTCCGGCGCCTTGGGAGGGGTCTGTCCACCGTAAATACAATTAAAGCGACGAGCGGACATCAATCCGGCAGAGACCGTGCCTGGGAAGGAGACCCCCGCCAGCGGCCTGTGCTGCGCTCTTCACGGTGACACAGAAAACCGGGCTCCGGGTACCACGCACCAAGCGCGGGCGCTGTTTCCCGGCCGCGCCTGTGGCAGCAGATCACAGCGCCAGCCCTTCTGGAAGTTCCATCGTCGCTAGGAGACAGAAAATACAAAACCGGATATACCTAAAACGCCGGCCAGTGGTGAGTACGAAGACGGAAAACGTCTCAGGAGCCCTGGCCGGTTTGGCTCAGTGGGTAGAGTGTCAGCCGCGGACTGAAAGGTCCTGGGTTCGATTCCGGTCAAGGGCACCTGCCTGGGTTGCAGGTTCAATCCCTGGCCCCGTAGTGAGCCTGCAGGAGGCAACCGATCCATGTGCCTCTCTCACATCCGTCTCTCTCTCTCTCTCTCCTTCCCTCCCTTCCACTCTTTCTCTTTTTAAAAATTTTAAATATATTGTTGATAGTATTACAGATGTCCCCCCCCCACTCTCTCTCTTAAAATCAATGGGAAAAATATCCTCAAGTGAGGATGAACAAAAACATAATAATAATAAATAAAATAAAAATCAAGTGTTGGCCAGTGGTCAGTAGTAAGATAAAACATAACTCGGGAGAGAAGAGGAGATTCAGAAACCATTTCCACCTACAATAGCTCCTACAGGAATGAGCTGTTCGGGGGTGAAGCTCCCCGGGTGCTGGGGGCCTCCCACAGGGGCTGGAGGGAGTGAGAGGAGGCGGGTGCGGCCCGGTACAGAGATCAGTTCCAGCCCGGCCGGGTGGCTCAGTGGGTGAGCATCACCCATGATCCAGGAGGTCACGGTTCGATTCCCCATCAGGGCACAGGCCCGGGTTGCAGGCTCGATCCCCAGGGTGGGGCGTGCAGGAGGCAGCCGATCCATGGTTCTCTCGTCATTGATGTTTCTCTCCCTTTCCCTTCCCCTCTGAAATAAAAGTATTAGAGAGAGAGAGAGAGAGGTCAGCTCTATCGGTCCCAGATCTATGAAAACCCCAGCAGGCTCGCCGCCCCCGCCCCCCCATCGCGGGCTGCCTCCTTCACGCGCAGGGTCCCGAGGGGGGCGCGGGGTTTGCACGGAGAAGCCCCCCCCTCCGCCCCAGCAGCCAGGCGCGGGCGCTATTGCGGCGCGGAGCCGCCAGGGGGCGCGCGGGGTGCGGGGCGCCCAGCGCGGGGAAGGGGCTCCCGGGGCAGACCCGAGCGCGGGACTGGGACCCCCGCCCAGCGGCCCCGACCGCACAGCTGCCCTGGGAACCCCCGTGGGAGCTTTAAGGCGCTGGGTTTCCTCCGCAGAACCCGGCGGTGCGACCCACGGCCCCGCCTCCTGGGGTCGGGGCACCCCCAGCCCCCCGCCCGGCCCGGCCCTCCCCAGCTCCCCTGAGGGCTGTCCACACCGCCCAGGGCCGGTGGTCAGAACCCACGTCCAGAGCCGGACCCTCCATGGCGCCGGGCACTGGGAGGAAAAATCAAAGCCCACAGCGGCTGCCAGGCCGTGTGCCCCCCCGCCCCCATCCCTCAGCCGCCTCGCTGCGCCCCGACACCCAGCAGGCTGCCCGCATCGCCGCCTCCGCCCAGAGGTCCCAGGCCGCGCCCTCGCCGCGCCTCCTGGAGCCCCACGCGGGCTTCTGCCAGGCCCGACCACGCGTGCCCAGTGCACCTGCGCCCGGTCCCTGCCTGCGCTCCACGTGGGCCCCCCTCGGCTGCTGCCTCCAGCCCCCCCCCCCCCCCCCCCGCCCTCCCGCCGGCTCAGCCTGCACAGCAGGTCGCCGAGTCCGGTCACACGGACATGGGCGCAGGGCCCGCAGGCGCAGACAGGGTAACGAAGTAGCCACTGAGGTCCCGGTCAAGGTTCCTGAACCTCCCTGCGCACCCTCCCTCCCTCCCTCCAACCACCTCCCTATGCGCCCACCCGAACACCATCTGTCCATCAGGCATCCATCCTCCACCTGCCGGTCCCTGGAGCCCCCCCCCCCCCCCGCCCCCGGGGTGTAAACTCCTGCGCCCGCTCCGGCCCCTCCTCACCTGCAGCTCCGACCGGCCGAGGCAGGCCCACGATGCGCAGGCATCAGGATGGTCCAGGAGTTCAAAGGAATTGGTGGGGTTGTTTCCTTCTCTAATTTTTAAAATTGGTTTTAGAGCGAGGAAGGGGGAGGGAGAGAGAGAGAGAGAGAGAGAGAGAGAGAGAGAGAGACATCCATGGGTTGCCTCCCATACACACCCCAGCCGGGACCAAACCCACAAGCTGGGCATGTGCCCTGGCCGGGAACCAAACTGCTGACCGCCTGGTGCCCAGGGCGACGCGCAACCAATAGAGCCCCCGCCGGTGAGTCTCTGCTGTCGGCCGCCCTTTAGGCCCCTTTGCTGCCACGGCCCTGGCACCAGCACAGCCGGGACCGGCCTCGGACACACGGCGAGGCGGGAGCCGCGGCCCTCTCCCCGTCCCAGGTCCCAGGTCCCAGGCCCGTCCTCAGCCCCACCCCCCACCCCCAGCCTGGCCCTCCTGCATAGGAGGGTGCACAGGCAGGTGGTTGGATGGATGGACGCCCCTCACAGCCTCCTGGACCACCCTGCCTGCTCCCTAACGCCGCCCCCCCCCCATTCTGCAAACAAGCCCCGTGCGGGGTGACCTCTGTTCTCTGCCACCCTGGGCTCTCGTCCCCAAGGGCACATGCCCCTCCCGTCCTGTCCCCTCGGCGCGGCTACTCTAAGAGCCCCCCTTCAGAAACACCAGGGGGAGTGGGCACAGCTCTGAGGTGGCGGGCGCACGGCTGGGGGCCTGGTGCAGTGCCCTGGACACGCCTCACTCCATTTCACACGGGCTCTGCGGCGCCCTCACTGCCGGGGTGATGCAGAGCGAAACCGTGTCCTCTCGCCACCAACGCTGTGCCCCATCGGGCCAGGCCTCTCCCTGCCTGTCTTCCCCCCAAGGCCTACCGCACGTGGGCAGGTGTGAGGGTGAGGATCATGGCCCTGGTTGCTAGGTCATTCTGATGCCTCCTGACAGGGCAGGGCGGGGTCTGGGCCGGAGGTGCAGTGTCTCTTCAGGATGCCAGAGCCTCATGGGAGCAGGTCCCGGCGCCAGGTATTCCGGTCCCTGTCGGCCGCCCTCCTCTCACTCACGCAGACACTGTGGCCCAATGGGCTGGTCCTTAGCTGCTGGGTTGGTCTAGGGCAGCCGTGGGCAAACTACGGCCCGCAGGCCGGATCCGGCCCGTTTGAAATGAATAAAACTAAAAAAAAAAAAAAAAAAAAAGACCGTACCCTTTTATGTAATGATGTTTACTTTGAATTTATATTAGTTCACACAAACACTCCATCCATGCTTTTGTTCCGGCCTCCGGTCCAGTTTAAGAACCCATTGTGGCCCTCGAGTCAAAAAGTTTGCCCACCCCTGGTGTAGGGGAAGCGGGTCTGTAACAAGGACCACAGTGGGCCGCCTACTCTCATCCATTCTTTTAAAAAATATATATTTTTATTGATTTCACAGAGGAAGGGAGAGGGAGAGAGATAGAAACATCAATGATGAGAGAGAATCATGGATCGGCTGCCTCCAGCCCACCCCCCACTGGGGATGGAGCCCACAACCTGGGCATGTGCCCTGACCGGGAATCGAACCCTGACCTCCTGGCCCAACCACGGAGCCACGCTGGCGGGTCTCTCCCATTCTGAGGTCAGAAGTCAAGGTGCCCCAGGGCGGGCTCCCTTCCTGCCTCCTCCAGCTGCGGGTGGCGGCCCTCAGTCCTGGGCTGGCGGCTGCGGCACCTCCACCTCTGTCCTCGTCACATGGCGTCCTCCCTTGTGTCTGTGTCCCAGTTTCCGTCTCCTTAGAAGGTCACCCTGACAGCCTCCTCCCGACTGGATCGGGTCTCATTCCGGTACCAGGGTAGGACTCAGTGCAGCAGCGTGGGGGTGGGGGCGGGACCCAGCACAGAAGCCCCTCCAGCCCCTTTAAGCAGCGATGGACTCCCACGGAGCCGGGGATGGCTCAGATC